GAGTACACTTTGCATTTTTTTTTTCATTTTCACAATCAAATAGTTCATCTCTCTATACACATTTGTCAATATTTTTTCATTATTGTAACAAACTTTTAAAAAATAATTATGTGCTTAGAAACATGACAATTTGGAAAACTATTTAGTTTAATTTCTACATGTTTATTAGTTTAATTTCTTGACAGCCTGTTGAATCTTCAATTGTAAACAATTGTTTGAAAATCAACTTCACTAAAAGTTGTCCAGCTTTTCAACAGATTAATGCTTGTTAAGGAAACAAATTTATATTTTAAGTCGTTGCTCGACTCCATTAACAGTTTTTCATCAAGTCCACAAAAAACTTGTTTGCAAGGATTCATCTTCCAATAGAAAACAACAAAAGAATTAAACTCAACAACAAAACAACCAAAAACTCAAACTTAAAACAACCAAAAATTTATTTTACTTGACAGAGAGAGAAAGATAGAAAGGAGAAAGAGAGAGAAGGAGAATCATAACAGATAAGTACTTACATCGGAGGTGATTCGTGGCTGGTTGGCGTGGTGGTACTTGCCCAAACGATGACAGTTGCTAAAGAAGAAGATGAAACCCTAACGGAGAGAGATGCTGATGAAGAGGAACGAATTTGGAATGATGAGATTGAGAGAACTCATGAAACCCTAGTGGAGATACTGACTAACTAAGTGAAAAATATCTAATTTTTTGGGCCAAGTAAAACCGTTGTTGTAAAAAAATGGACTTTCTTGGGCTCTCCATTAATATGCCAAGTCAAAATCATATCATTCATACCTCCCCTTTTGGGTCGGTCAGTTATGGTTAGCCATGGGTCTAAAAACATAATCCTAAACCGACCGACAGAATCCACCTGCATCCATTTCTTGGCAAATCGATAAACCGATGATCTGCTTAACCCGACCCACATGTTCTCGGATCCATTGGGTAGGTCGGTTTGGTCTGGATCGAAAAAATTTGTCCACCCCTAATAATACTTTTGATTAAAAGTTTTAATTTAACTATATTCAAGGGTAAAATAGATTTATTATACAATATTTGATTTGAATTGATTTGACGTTAAATACTGTTGACTTATCATATCCATAATTTTTGTTGTATTTTATATTTTTTCTAATATCATCATTGACGTAATATAGTCTGTATTTATATTCGAATGTGGTTGCATTTGAAAGCTAAAAAGAGAGTGAAAATTAAAAAGGCACACAATTTATTTTCTCTTCCTTATTTATATTGTTATCATTTAAAATAGTTTTTGTTATATTAGATTCTAAATATGAATAAGTTTGATCTTATTTTGATTTTCTTCTTGATTATGCAAGATAAGTTCTACAGCATTAACCAATTAAAATTTGGTAAAATAAATAGAGGATTATGTTGTTCTTCATGTGTTTATGCACGATTGTGTTGAGCAGTGTGTTTCATTTTTATTCTTTAAACCTTTCATGTATCATCAACTTCGTAGATGTCCAACAAAGTGTTGATATTTCATTTTCGTTGATTCATTTGTTTCTGCATTGCGTGTCTGGTGCAGTATAGGATCTAATGAAAGGATTGCAATTATGTGCAGTCAAATGCATCTATCGTAGTGATAATATGATTACAAAATGTAGATCTGCTATGTTTCAGAAGCTTGGGTTTGGTATATGACTACATAATGGTTTTGCAATTTGCTTTATGATTACTAATGCCCTGTTAAACAAAATGAAAGCAAATGATTGTTTAACAGTTTTATGCAGTTTTGGTGCATCTGTAATTGTATCTGGTTTAACTGTGATTCTGGTGGAAGTATTAAGCCGGTGTGACATCAGTAGTTATCGATCTAAGTACATGATTATATTCGAATATGAGGCGTCTTCTTTTTGGGAATTTTCATTTGTATTTGTTTCTGTTGTAGTTGATGTTCTGTTGTTCTGGTGTAAGCTTGCAGTTCTGGCATATATTTGTTAACATGTGTTTTGTTTGTATGCTAAGACTTAGTTTTGAATAGCACAACAAGTATTGTGTAATTGTATTGTATAGAGCTTTACCACAAATGCAACTTGTGAATTTTCTATAGATTGCTTACTTAACTCTAGATCATGTTTTTGTTAATAGCTTTTGGTTACTAGCATTTGTTTTTACAGTTTTAATATATAATGCTTCTAAGTCATTCTTTTTTAAACAATGTAAACTTGTGCATCATTTTAACATTTATAGTTAATAACATGTGATTATGTCTACGAATATCTTTAGTTTTAGGATTGACTATTCAAACTCTTTAGGTTTGACAACTTTATGAAATGAATTGTACAACTAAAAAGTACTTTTAAACTAAGAAGTAGTTTTCTATTAAAGTTAAAAGGGATTGTACAATTAGTATTGAAAACATAATACTCTAAAAACAACTTTAGTGATTTTCATTTATTTGAAAATTACAATTACCATTTCAAATTATATATGAAATTTCTTAATATTATGGTTATCGTTTATAATTAATGCACATTAAAAATATATATACTAAGTGTACTACACAATATGCAAATAATATTATAGAATTTCACTTATTTGTTATTTTTATTTTGTGATATAGTGCAATCTCATTTACTATACACTAAGTTATTATTATGAGTAAAATATTTGATATAAAACTTATCAGGTAAGAAGTAATCTCTGTATTTTAAAATTAAAAAGTTTTAGTGCGTTCTCACGTTTTTAATAGAAAATTGAAGATATTTTTTAATTTTTTAACTTATATTTTTTTTAATAAAAGTTTACAATAAATTTATATCTGATTAATATTTTTTATTATTTTGAAGATTGTTATTGAAGAATAGGTTATAGGTTTGATTTTAATCTCCATGTTGAATTTGCATGAGCAGATTTTATATAGTTTATTATATTTTGACGGAGTGTTGTCATTGATTTTATGTTTGTAAAAAATGTAAATATGATCTAATAAGAAGGTTTTAGGTTTGTAATTTAACGGGGAGTTGTCATACATCGTAGGTTGTAAAAAATGTAAATATGATATAATAAGAAAGTTTTAAAACTGAAATTCGACGGCGAGCTGTCATACATTTTAGGTTTTGAAAAGTAGACTAATATCTAAAATAAGTTTAATAAATTTTTAGAATTAACTCATTTGGATTCAACCGGTGTTTGTTAACTCATTTAGATTCATGGGTATATAATAGCTATAGATTGTTAATTTTAATATTCATCTTTTAAATCTTTCTTTTGCTACTGTTTAATATAATTGAAGTTAGAGAACCGGTTGTACGGTTTATTATAAATACGAATCAATGCTTAAAAAGCAAGTGCATGTTATTAGCCTATATTTGTAACTATGAGAATGTTAACCAATTAAAAAATAAATTCATACTTTACAGAGGATAGTTTGGTACACGTGTAATGTGAATCCAGACAAGACTCGTGCGGTAGCACGAGTTTCTTACTAGTTAAATATAAATGATTGAATTTGTAGACGTGTTTTCAATTAGAATTAGAAGGATGAGAAAATCAAGGATCTCGATTGTGACTTTTAGTAAGGGAAGGCACAGTGCCTTTGGAATGATTTGTTCCTCCCGATGAATCAAATTGCTCACGTGTACATGGATTCCTTTGAAAAATTTAAAAGCTAAACTTCCTCCGTGGCGTCCCAAAAAAAAAATAGAAAGACACTTTGGACCGGTAGCAAGTCAACATAAACCATACCTTCTGCGTTTAAAATGTTTTTGATCGATATTTAGATTTCTTACCCAAGTTATACTTATGGAATCTAAATCAGTCGCACAATCCAAACCCAAGTTTTTGTAGGTTCCAAAAAAATGCGGGATATATGCAACTGAAGTTGGGTTAGAACTTTGAACCACAATATTGATAAAAATGGAGTATTTATATGTGTTACGAGAGATATTTAAAGAGAATTAGAGATAGTATAATTGAGGGTGAGAATTTACATTAACATTGGTTGAGGATACTCTGGGGTATTTATACAAAATTACAATTGATTCCGACACAAGTAACAAAGATGAAAAACTGAAACTAACTGTTTGTAACTGATTACACCAAATTTGTAACCGTTCAGCTGTTTGTAAATTTAATAACAACAAAGTGGTAACAAATTACTACGAATAAGTAATCAGTTACACCCTAGACAAAATGACTTACTTTCATCTTTTTTGGCTGTAAACGGTTACACTCAAAAGTAATCGGTTACAACACTTGAATTTTTTAATTTCACTTAACACATCATTTTAATTCAAGTGTCTAAGTCTTCCATTATCATGTTCTTCTCCAGTCTCTTGAATACTTCAATTGTGACTCCATGATTAGCAAACCAATCACTTGGTCTTCACTTTTACAATATCTCAATTTCAACTTTCCTTCACTAACAAATTCTCTCAAGTAGTGAAACCTCATCTCAATATGCTTATTTCTCCTATGTGTAGTTGAGTTCTTAGCAAGATTTACAGGGAGAAGGTTATTGTAATGAATAAGGTCCAAATTCTATAAGTCCGTTAAAATTAATAGTGTTAATTCATTATCCTTTATAAGAATCTAAGTGAGTAATTAATTGGTTTCAATGTTATAAATAGGTGATATGAGAATGTAATTATCATCAATAATAATGAATGGAAAAGTTAGTTTTATACTTGTTAGCATTTTTAGTGTAGTTTCTCTCTATTTCTCTTAGCCTCAAAAAATATATGCATAACAAATGGTGCTTTCATTGCCATTAATTTCCTCTCTATAATTACTACCACCATGACCCTACCACCATAAATGTTCATACATTGTTGAAACCACAAGCTTATCAATATTCAAGTTCTATCAGTCCCAACGCCATATCCCTTGCTGAACAACATCAAAATGTTTTCTATAATTCTATCCATCATCAACAAATTTTTATTTCCCAACTTCATCCTCACTACCCCACACCAAATCCGTGTTGGTATTCATCCAATCCATTTTCTAAACAATCTGCATCATTTTCGGATTTGTTCATGACTGAAATTGTAAAATCACAACTCAACGATGAAGAGGCTCTGAAGTTTAAACCACTAGAGTTGCAACAAGGTGAGAGTGTCGATGAACAATCGTCAGGGATGGAAGAAGGATTATGTGATTTCAACAAACATTATTCTTCACCTGTAATTAGGGATCTATATTTCACAGTACTGGGTGACGATGACGAGGAGTCATCATTCCAATCTTCTTCGACGGATCCTGATGATATCATCATCCTTACAAAGCAGTTAAAAGTTTCTTCCTTCGTCTTCAACAATGAAAATCTTGTTGAGGAAAATGATGATGTTGGGTTGAGTGCTCCGATTGCAACTCAAGCCCTCGTTCCAATCTTAACCCCATCTAACTTCGATTCAGAGCTCGCAGTCGATGACATTGATATTATGAAATACGAGTTCGAAGCTAACTTTATTTTTGATTTATCCTCATATGTCAAAGATCGATTGAAGGGCACTATTTCTAGGGTTTTCATGAATCTCCACCCAACAAAGTGGCTAGCGGTTGGTTCCAACCTTGGATATTTTTCATAACGACGCCGATTACGAAATTACACCAAAACCTCCTGATGTTATTTCAAAGTTTGAAAGAGGATGCAAACCTGAAGCGCTCACGAGAGTATGCAGATTCACCATTTTCCACTGCCACTGAAATTTTTATTCTCAGCCATGACCATGATTCTGACAAGGTATTCTAACTTATTGGCAAATTTAGTTTTCATTGTGTTTGATTTTGTACATCTCATGGGGTTTGAGTTTGAGATCAAAAAGCTTAATCCAAACTTTACAAATCTTTCACTAACCGCCACTCTGGTTTTCGACCCTGGACCACACCATTTGACATCCAACAACTTTATCATTATATTTGTGGAAATTTGTGTTTATATGTTGATATCTTTGCAATTTTGGGTGTCATTGTGAAGAATAATATTTAACATAATGCATTGTAAAGTCTCTACTAGAAAAACATGAGATAATGGATTGCATAAAGTCACTACTATAAGAACATGAGATAATTGGAGGCTTTTATTTAGGATTGGTTCTCACTACTGGTTATGAGTGTAAAGATATTATTGAAAGCAAATTCTTTGTTCTTGCAGCTACACATGGAAGTGTTATTCATGCATGTAAATAGTTTGAGAAATTTCCATATAGAAAAGTTGTGATATCCGCAATTGTATTTCCCAAACCATTTGCTTCACTTGCATCTTATGATGAAGAATTGATTTCTAAATCTGTCAGATTTGTGAGCAATTTGTGGAAAATAATAAGTTGGGATCCAGATGGCCAATTGAAGATGTGCACAAAATTTTGGTTCTTCACTTTTAATCAATGGGATCCAGGAAGAAATTTTTTGGCAAATGAGATAGAAGAAATTATAGAAGAAACTAGAATTAAAGTAAATGAGCTTACAGAGAAAGAAATATCATAATGTCAAATCAAGATTACGGGAATGACGTGCACAAGCTGTTCTCGATCTTTTGAGCATGCCTTGCAAATGGTTGATTGAGTGAAAAAGGCGATAGTTGGTCTGACCTTAGATGAAGCAAAAGTACTCTTTAATCCTAAAGTCACGATACCAACAAAATAATTAAAGCTCTAGAAGATGCAAAAGAACTTGTTAGTCTGAGGAATGATATGAATAAAGTCCATCTAAAACTTGAAGGGATAGATTCACTGGAGGATTTAAATGTTATAGTTTCTTCTCTTGATTTAGCTCCTGATGTGAAACACGTTGAAGTGGATTTAACCGAACAAAAATTATAGTTAGCTATGATGCAGGTATTACAGGTCCAAGATTTCTTATAAAGTGTGTTCAAGAAGCTAGTAGTGGTCACAATGTGTACCAAGCAACTTTGAATACTAATTCAGGTAATAGAGAAATAGATAAATGGAGAAGTCGAATGAAATTCGTATGTACAGAAACCAAGTTTTGTTAACCTGCTTATTTTATGTTCTTGTGTTTATTTTTTCCATGATTCTCCCCATGCTTCCTTCATATGGTGACTGGTTAAGCTATAAGATTCATAATATGTTCACTTTTTGTTTTTTTTTTAGATGGATCCTCAACACTCATGTTCAGTTCATTATTGGAAAAAGGCAAATATTTGGAGTATATGGTGAAAGGGAAAACATCGGCTGCTTTAGAAAAGCTTATTCGACTTGTTTATGATAAAGCTTATTTGCTAAATTTTGATGCTAATGTAAATGTGGTAGGAGCAATCTTCACAACCTTTAGAACAAGGTTGTTTTTCAAGATTGGTGGAGTGTAATGAATAAGGCCCAAATTCTATAAGCCCGTTAAAATTAATAGTGTTGAAATATTATCCTTTAGAAGGATATAAATGAGTAATTAGTTGGTTTCAATGTTATAAATAGGTGATAGGAGAATGTAATTATCATCAATCAAAATGAATGGAAAAGTTAGTTTTATATTTGTTATCATTTTTAATGTAGTTTCTCTCTATTTCTCTCAGCCTAAAAAAATATGTTCATAACAGTTATCAACCATGAGCGTTATAGTGTCACACTCTTTGCTGCCCAACTCCTTTAATAGATTCATCAACCACACTGCTTGGCATACACACAATTAAGCGACAATGTACTCATCCTTATAAGAAAAGAGTGCTATTATTGGTTGCTTCTTCGATTACTATGATATCGGTGTTTCACCAAACATAAAGATGTATCCAACTATTGACTTGTTATCATCTTTATCTCCACATTAATTGGAATCAATAAAATCGAACAAATTGTATTTTATGCTCGTATCCATTACGAGAAAGATAATTCCGCAGCCAGTAGATCCTTTGACATATCTTAGAATCCTTTTGGTTATTTCCAAGTGAGACACCTTCGATCTCTCCATTAATCTACTTACAATACTGAAACTAAATGTCAAATTCAACCGTGTATTGCACAAGTAATGCAAGGATCCAATCAACCTCCTATATTGAGTTGGATAACGTCTTGCTCATCCTCATTCTTCGAAAAATGTAGCCTCGATTCAAATGGAGTATTGACAATATTACAATGCTCTGTTTCAAACTTCTTCAAAATCTCAAGCGTATACCTTCTTTAGTGCATGAGCAATCACTTCTTGTACATGTGAAAATGAATCCCAAGGAAGTATCACATGAGACCAAAGTCAATTATCTCAAATTCATAAGTTCACTCTTGAACTTAGAAATACACTTTTCATCACTTCCCGTGATCAACAAACCGTCTACGTGTAGATAAAGAATTATTACCCCTCCACTTGTATCCTTCTCCACATGCACACCATGTTCAAATACATAATTATTAAAGCCATTCTCTTTTAAGAAACCATCTATCCTCTTATTACAAGCTCTTGGAGCTTGTTTCTGAGCGTACACCACTTTCTTCAACTTGTAGAACTTTAACTCTTGGTTTCTCACAAAAAAACTAGGGGACTATTCTACATAAACCTCATCTTTAAACGACCCATTTTAAAACTCATATTTAACATCCATTTGATAGATGTAGCATTTTTTGTTATTTGCAATATCAACAACTAGGCTAATAGTTTTAATATCAGCCACAGGTGCAAATACCTCTTCAAACTCTACGCATTCTATTTGCGAAAATTCATTTACAACTAATCAAGTCTTATGCTTGATTATTTTACCCTTGAGATTTGCCTTCACTTTGTACACCCATCTTACACCAGTTGACTTATTTCCTTCTGATAGATTAACTAACTCCCAAATCTTGTTCTTATCAATCAATTTCAACTCCTCTTTCATAACACAAATCTATTTTGGATCACTCAAGGGATCTTCCATTTTCACGAATTCAAATTCGGTCTTAAGTACAAAATGGACGAAATAATTATCATCCTCATCACCATCATCATCATCATTTAATTCATTGTCTTGGAACAACTCATAATCTTTGAGTCTTTGAGGCAAAACTTTTTGCCTTGTTGATCTTCTAACATTTTCTTCAATTTGGGTTTTGACGAAGGCTGGTTCTGTACTTTTAGACATTACATAAATTGATTTTTCATTGATGTAACTGGTTATAGCTTTCTAGCAACCAGTTACAAGCTACTGCAGCTGTAGAGTGATACCCTATAAGCATCATCAATTCTCCCTTGTCATCAAGCTTATTTCTAATAATGTTGAATATTTATTCAATTAATAATGTAGAATATTAAGAAAAATGAGAAAAATTAGAGTAGAGGTTCTATTTAGGGTTCTTGAAAAAAGTGGGGGGAGAAAATAACGTTATTAGAGGGGTTGAGTGCAGAAAAAGAATGAAAGAAAAATTAAATAAAAATCATATTTTTATTTAATTAGAATAAAAATAGAGAATTGGAGGGATAAAAAATAATTCACGTAAAAAACAAAGAGAAATGGGAAAAGTGAAGAGAAGCCCTAGCAGAGCAAAAGTGAAAGAGAGGGAGTGTTCATCATCATCAAGCTTGGAACTTTTGCTGGAAAGTAAGGTAAGGGGAGAAATTACTCTACTATGGATGTATATTGATTGAAGGGTAGAGAGAGATCCTCACCCTCTTCTAGGTTGTTTTCGACATTGATGTGTTATGAGTTCTTGGCTACGATCATGTGAAATCCATGTTAATTTATTGTATTTAATGTATGAATTCCTGTTCTATTATGTGCATATTTTTATACATGATTGGTTGATTTGAATACTAAATATTGGTGTTGCCATTGTTATGTTTCGGCGCTTTGAACATAACCTTAATTCAATGATTGATTGGTTGATAATTATTTGATGGCGGCTTTGTATAATTTATGTTGATTGTTCTATAAATTTTATATAATTATATGTCGAGTTCAAAGCATTTTTTACAGAATCAAAATCGAAGTTTCGAAAGTGTTATGATGGGGAAAAATCGCAGAAAATTATGAAACATCATTTTTTGGCCCTGGAAGCCGCTAAGAGTCGTAGCAGCTGCTATAGGTGGATGTAGCAGGCCATTGGTTTTAGTACCAGGCATGTCATTGAATTTTGTTTTGTGTGTATCACTCCACTGTCATCGCGTTGACGCCTGATCAAGAAGCACGTCCCTGAGACCTTGACGGTCGACCCGTCACCCCACTGACGCCAGCCAACTTCCCCAATGCAGCGATGATTGGTCCGTCACGACGATGACACTTACCACCATTGTGCATAATTCAGAATATTAAGTTTTCATCTTGCAGTAATCTATAACAACTAACACATTGAATTCATACAAATTACATATTTATATCATTAATCATCTATCAAATCATTATTATACTCATCAAAATCCCAAACATGTATTCATCAACATCAACTCAGAATTATGCATATCAATCCATACGAAATTCAGTAATTAACACAACATAAAATCAATATCATAACACCTCATTCTAGAGAGGTTTGCACAATCATCTAAATATCTAAAACCCTATAAATGGTGGGAAAAGAAAAAGGAACAAGGAATAGGGTAAAAATCTATATCTATTATTCATGAATAATACACCCATAAGATGAATAATCCCTCTTACCTAGAAATTGCAGCAAAACAAAGCTTTACTATAGAGTTCTGGTTCCTTTTTAGTGCTCTCCTAGGGTTGTCTTTTTCTCCACTTTTGGTCTTTTCTCACAATCTTCACATACTGTGACTTTTTCTTCCTACCTCTACAATTTAAATTAACCTAACTCTTTTATTTTAATTAATTCTACAAATTTCTCTCATATACCACTAATTCCACCTCATTATTATACTTTTAATAAATTTCTAGTTCTCTTCCCAAAACCACAACTTTCTATTTTCTCTATTATTTTAAATATTAATTAAAATGTAACATTGGTTTTGAATAAAACTCAACTACCTAATAGTTAAATAAATCCGTCAAAGCATTCTTGAAATTCAAATAAAATATTATAAAAAAAATATTTAAAATTAAAATTGGTGTTTAATAGTTTTAGTTTTTACTTATTAATAATAGGTGTTCTTGACTGGTCTAATGACTAGAATTGACCCAATTTGCTTCCACCTCCAACATGGACCAATAACTCTGGCCAATCAGCTTTGGCCCTCTATTGGGCACGCTTGGTCAATTGCTCTCCAGGCATAGCAACCCCAACTCACCCCGAGTCTTACACCTGCCCGTAATGACAACTTCTTCCCCGACCTACTCGTTGCATGCCGAGTAGACAACCAGACTAGCGCTCATAATGCGTCTACCCGTCATCTCATCCTTGCTTAGAGAAACGAGTAGTTATGGGTATGATTTCCCGTTTTGACCAGGTTCTGGCAGTTACCTATTTTTACGGACCTAAATATCTAGGCCCAAAATAAAGACCAATGGCTACGCGCTGGGGACATTATATAAACCCTCACATTTGTGAGGGCCAAATATCTAATATTCGTACTAAAAAACCCTAATATCTTTCTTGTATCTCTTTGCACCCATTCTTACTTGATCATCAGAGTGCCTTACAGGTACACTCATCCTCTCCTCAACTTTCCAACCAAACATGCGTAATCATTAAGGCCCACCTTCAGGTTCTAGTCAACCGGTAAGATCAATAACGCCGTCTATGAGAACTATCTTTCCCGTCTTCCTTTTCCTCAAGTCCAAAGACCAGAGATATTTTCACTACTTTTATCATAGCCGACCATGATGACCACCATCTTTATGGAAATACTGTACTATCCCCCGTCCACAAGACAGACGGGAATCGAGAGCTTTCTCATATAGAGGATATCCCCGATATTAAAGATGGTCAGATAACATCCCTATATTCAATTGATGTTGAACGCGACAACCTCAAACTCTTGGACAATGAGAGGTCAAAGAACCCCAACCAAGAGCTGCAAGAAGTTCTCCAGCCAGTTCTTATTCCATCAAATGCCGATCTGACATTGGCAGCGCTGTTCGTCGCTCTCAATTAGACCAACACCCTAATCCTGCAACATAGCAAGAGGATTGGGGCCTGGGAGAAGAAGCGGTCAAAGTCTCCTCCACAGAGACACCGACGTTATGGCTCCCGCAGTCCATCCCCGCCAAGGTGTGTCCGTCTCCCCGCGCGAGAGAAACATGAGATTTCTTTCATCAAGAAACGGGGTCGCATAGCCGGCTTTCACCGATCTCTAAGAGGACAAAGAACAATCGGCTTGACCGCAACCACTCGCCGACACCCAAGCTGAGAAGGAGAACCTCCCCCTGACGAGGAAGTGATCACCTTTTCCCATCACTATCTCCTGAGAGAAGCGACGACGACGAACCCCGCGACCCGTTATCAAGAGAAATCATGGAGACCACACTCCTTATCGGTCTGGAGAAACCTCCTCACCTGGGGGACCTACGACGGAACAATCGATCACGACGAGCACATTGAAAACATCGACGCACTGCTCGATTACAGAGGAGTTCACAAAGCGATCAAATACAGATTTGTTCCTACAACTCTCAGGAAAGGGGTCATGGCGTGGTACAAGAGTCTTCCTGACAAATCCATCACGTCATAGAAGAACCTGGAAAGATAATTTTCTAAACACTTTATGGCATCTCGTCAACTTCTAAAGCAGAAACATCTTTGTTTTTAGTCCTGCTGAAAATGAAACATATTTATATTGATTTATGTTCATTATTTATGTTCATCATTTATACTAGTTCTCTGAAAATTTTGATTTCCAACTAATTCAAATAAAAATCTAGATATTAATATAAATCAGTTTTAAATCGGACTAAACTAAATAAAAACCAATTTTTAAAAAATAAACCAATTTAATTAAAGTGATTTTTAAAACTAAATTGAATTATGTAGTATTACTTAGATTTGGTTTGGTTTTAGAATCACTCCCGGCCCTAATTGATTTGATGTCCAACAACTTGTGTAGATCAAAAAGAATTGTCCGTATATGTAGAGATTTGGAATAGCTAAATCAAGGCAATAAATCTGCTAGAAAACATCCTACATAAAGCTGTTACAGTAATAAAAAAAAAACAATATTAAGAAAATAATCCTATTGGTTAATTCCAAATGCCACGGATCGCGATCCCATTACCCTTTTCCAGGAGACATTCAACCGTAGATAGCCACTCTAATCAACGATCACCATCTCTTCCATTTTTCTATTTTCTATTTCCAATTCCCGCTCGCTCCTCATTTTCTCCTCCAATATATATTACCCAAACACTTCTACTCTCACCACATCTCAATTATCAAACAATCGAACACTTATTTTTCTCTCTTCCCAATTCGAAATGGCTCGTACTAAACAAACCGCTCGCAAATCCACCGGAGGCAAGGCTCCAAGGAAACAACTCGCAACCAAAGCTGCTCGCAAATCTGCTCCGGCCACCGGAGGAGTGAAGAAGCCACACAGATTTCGTCCAGGAACCGTTGCTTTGAGAGAGATCAGGAAGTATCAGAAGAGCACTGAGCTTCTCATCAGGAAACTTCCATTCCAAAGACTTGTTCGTGAAATTGCTCAGGATTTCAAAACAGATCTCCGATTCCAAAGCAGTGCTGTCTCTGCTCTTCAAGAAGCTGCTGAAGCTTATCTTGTTGGTTTGTTTGAAGATACTAACTTGTGCGCCATTCACGCAAAGAGAGTTACTATCATGCCTAAGGATATTCAACTTGCTCGCAGAATCAGAGGAGAGAGGGCTTAGGTTTTAGTTTTTATGCTAATTAGATGCTGCTCAGTTATGGTTTGGTTCATATGTTATGAATCTTGATGTAACTAATCAATATTATTGTTGGTTCTGGAATTGGATCTGCTTGTTTTGTAACATTTATCTTGAATGTTATGGATTCAGTGGTAAAATATATGTGATAATTGGATTGAGTTAATAATCTTAGCACTTTATTCTCTTAATACTTCAATAACATTCGCAATGCTTATATCTGTAGGTTGAAATTGTTTAAATATAATACTTATTTAACATTGAGAAACTGAAACAAAAACCCAACAAACCCTAACAATAATTGTTAGGATATTCAATAGTTCTGCACGGAAGTTTATAATGGAGTTTGCCATCGTCGCAAAAACAAAAATGACTGTCTTGGCTACAACTACTAGTAGTTGACACTAGTAAGTGTGAGTACGATTAGTAATTTTAGATAATCGAAGTATGTTATCTTTCAGAATTGGAAGTATGAGTAAAACTAATAGTCACTGACGCCATTATTGAAGAATTAGAAGGAAATGACGTGAGTGATGTTGAAGTTACTTTCGTTATTAATAAAAGAGTTCTTGTCGTTGAGGCTTGATGTTAGGTCGTTTTTTTATGTTGTAGAAGAGGCTAAGGCATTTTTGTACATGTCTTTTGGAAACATTCTAAAGCAGTTAATTCGAAATTCAAAAATTCTAGTACTTTAACATATTATCATGGGAGTAATTTTGTTGAGTATGTATAAGTTACTAATTTGATACTCTCATGTCTTTTTGGTTCATACTTCTCTCATTTTCTTAATCTAATGGTTGATTACAACACAACGAAACATAATAGTATAAGTGAGAGAGAGAAAAAAGATGAATTAATGGATGAAATTGAAGCATAATTGAAATATGAGAGAAGGAAAGGAGCCTAAGAGAATGCAAATCCATTAGTTACATATTCACATTAGTTTTATTATTATTAGTTTTATTATTATTATTATTATTATTATTATTATTATTATTATTATTATTATTATTATTATTTAGAAACAATTGATATCGGTTACATATTTTACATAATCAATTATAGATATTTAAGATTTAGCTTTGGCTTTGATACTTGTATCCTAAGTTATTGTAATTTTTTGTTTATATATCCAAGGAATATCACAATCAATAGTTAATGCAAATGATAATTCTCTCCCTCAATTATTCTGTCTCAAATTCTCTATCTCTCTCACCCTATCCATACTTTATTACTCCATTTTAACAATCTTGTGATTCTAAGTTTTAACATTTGACATCAGTGTCATGTTGAAGTGTTATTTGACTACCAAGATATTCTTGATGTGATCAAGAACGGGGCGAGTCCTCTTGTCGAAGGTGCAACAAACGCACAACGAGCAAAACATAAGGAAGAAAAGAATAATGATTTCAAGGCAATGTTTTTGATCCATCAATGCGTTGAGACGAATAATTTCGAGAAACTTGATGATTGTGAATCATAGAACCAAACGTGGAAAATCTTAGAAAAGACATACACTTGAATTGACAATGCGAAGGTTGTGAGGCTACAAACTAACAAACGTCAACTTGAGTTGATTCAAATGGAGAAGAAATAGACGATCAACAATTTCTCGACGAGAATTACTCGGTTCGTTAACCAAGTAAAAACATGTGGATAAACTGTTATGGAGCAGTATGTTATCGCAAAAATCTTGTGCTCTTTGACGACAAGATTTGAAAACATAGTCATAACAACTGAGGAATCAAAGGATCTTGCGCCGATGATCAAAGAGGAGCTATAAAGCTCTCTTGCAGCTCATGAGCAAAACATGGAGGAGAGAAATAGTGATAAGGCAAAGGAAAAGATTGCTTTGCAATCTTGTTTCAATGAGAAAGACAAGAAGTCAAAAGCAAAATGGCACATGAAGAGTAAATGGAATTTTTAGAATTTTGGTGGAAGCTGAAGCAACTGGGAAAGTCATCGAGAGAAAATCAATAAAGTCTCCATCGAGTATTTATCTATCCTACCAAAGGGAAAGAAAAACATCGAAGAAAACCTGAGAAGAGAGAAATCACGATCTTGTAACCGAGAGACTGGGTACGAGAGCCGATTATGCAAGGAAAAATTATTAACACCCCTCACGTTCGTGGTACTCCATGGCATCCACTCTTGTTGTTCTAATCAAAGGGTGTGTTCATATCTAAAGCTTACAAGCTAAGGAAATGCATGAATGCAGAGTGTATATACAAAGAAAAAGGTTTTATTAGTCGTGCCCGCGCGGTTACGAACCTTTAGTGCCTACGTACCACCTTCAATGTAATAGAGGATCAGAGCACTCGTAGTTCTCATAAAAATGCTGCTTGGTTTGCATTTTTTAAGCGGATAAAATTACATTCGCACTCCAGCAGTTTGACATAGTGCCACCCGACCTTTGGGGAATTACACATTGTTTTGCATGGAGAGGAAATAATACATTCTTTTAGAGAAAAAGTTTCCAAAGAAAATCCCTAAAGCGGTTCGAAGACAAAAAGGTTTGAGTTGGTTGATGTTTTTGATGGGATAATAACAAAAGGATCACAATGGAAGGACACTCGCTACTTCTCCGCTTATTTGCAAAAGAGTTTGCAATTTGAATCGCAATAAAATCCGGAAGTGGAAGAAGATCAAGATTCAGTATGGACCAATTTTCTCTACCCCAGAAGACTCAACTGCATACGATCCGCATCCTTAATTATTAAGTGTTTTGAGTTTTTTTTTAAGAAAATAAGTTTTTGTTTAATTATGAAAAAGGTGAATGAAAAAGTTCAAGGGATACTAACAATCCTAATGTTATCATGCAATGGTGGTCCTAAGTTTTGGATATAAAAGGGAAACATCTATCTAAGTTAGCATGCATGGTTTACAAACCTAATGTCTACCTTGAATCGAAAACGAAACAAGTAATCCTAAGGGAACATGCAAAGGTGAACTTAAAAGAACAATCAAAGGTGCAAGGAATTAAACACAAACAAGGATGATAACGAGCATCAAACATGAGATATTTGTACATGAATCATAGGTAGATGAGTAAAAAAACCCTTCTTCCACTAGAATAGCTCAATCAAATCGAGTAACAACTCTAATCATCAATGTTAACAAACATGAGTTAATATCACCGAAGCGATGACATTACGATCCCTATTTTCCACTTTCATTTACTCAAAGGACAAGAGGAGAACAATTCAAATCATCGACATATAACGCGAGTTAAGAAAGACCAAGGGACTTGAAATTATGGGGGCTGATTGCGATCCATATTGTTCCACTTTTTTATTGACTCGATTGTAAGCACAAAGTAAAAGGGGGATGATAATTGCCTTCTTTGAGGACTTTAAACAAAACAGAATTTCCTTCTTCGAGGACTTTAAACAAACAAGATTTGCCCCTTTTTGAGGTCTTTTACAAACATAAATGTAAACAAACAAGTTCGTAATGCCTACAGGGGTAGGTCTTCAGCTCATGCATCTCTATTCCTACTTCTCATGACAAGAAAATCAAAAGACAATGCGGAATCAAAAACAGAATTAGAAAAGGGACCAAACGAACAAAATGTCTGTAGCAAAGTGTAATCAAAGCAAGAAACCCGAAGATCTTCGCGAACGCTTCACAAATCAAAGAAAATAGTCAAAAATTAATTGCTCAAAATAAGCGTCGAAGCATCATCGATCTGAAAATAAATCACAACCGATATCCGAAAATCAAACAAATAATCCCGTATAAGATACAAGTCCCGACAAAGCAAAAAGTGTATCACAAGTCTCATGTACCGAGATACCTTCGGAAGCTTGCACAATTCACAAGATGAGTTAGTAATAACAAGAAACGATAACTGAAGTTAGATCTTCACATCACAACTCAAATTGATATTCAATCATGAAGAAATCACTTCCAAACAAGTATCAGAACCATAAAACAAAATTTCAGACAACATGGTATTGGTTTATGAAACGCACAAAAAAGTCGAATTAAAATCAACCAAAATCGACACAATGTCAAGTATTCATCCAATTAAATCCAATTATGCATTAAGCACAAATTAAATCACATTCCGTGTGCATTTTCAAAATCCGGACAACATTGCTTTTGCTCATGAAATGCTCGAAATGTCGAATTAAAATCGATAAAACTCAACATCGACATCAAATAATCACCAAGTGTAAGCCAAATATGCATGAACCGAGAATTAAAACACAATGAAAAAAAGAGAGAGAAGCTTGAGTGAGAGAGTGAACTTGATAGTTTGAGAGAAATTTCTTTGTTCTTGAGTGATTTTTTGTGACAAAATTAAAAATAATTCCTTTTCAATTTGAATTGAAATCAATATATACAAAAGCCTTAAGGACTTGTTTGACAAATGGAATTGAAATAATCAATTTTGGAGTCATAAATCCCTTGTTTTCGGGTTGTGCAGATTTTTTATCATAAATCCATGTACAATTTGAGATGCGAACCATAAACCAAAATTCTCTGAGCATAATTCAAACCCGACTCTTGAAGCAAAAACGTAGATGACGAAATTTGTGACATCATATCGGAAGGATTTTCTTGATACAATAAAAATCGTATTTTTTCAATACCGAGAAATTTGGAGACAAAAAACTCTTTGTTTCGGGCTGCGTAGCTTTTGCATCATATTTCAGTGTTCAACTTTAGAAACAAGCTATAAACTGAAATCTTCTTATCATAATACGAACTCGGGCCTTGAAGAAAATTTGTAGCTAAAAAAATTTATAACATCATGCCGAAAGAATCGTCCCGAAATGCTAAATATCGAGAAAGTTGTGATTTTTGCAATATTGTAAAACAGTTGACCGGAAATCCGCTTCAGCATGCGAGTTTCAACATATTTTGCAATTTCAGAGATCTTCTTCACACAATTGACTTCCGATCCGAACATATGAAATTAAGAGGATGTCAAGACGGTTACAACACCTAAAGATCCACTAAAAAATAATTTTATGAAT